TGGCATAACCACCCTTGGTTATGCAATTCGATTCCTATGGTTTGGTTCTATCCTCTTATTACTTGCTTTTGGCCTCACACATTTTCTTCAATTATTCTCCTCAAGACTAGGAGGATAGTTTTGCACTTTTTGTTATGCCGTAGCAAGTATTCTTAGGGATGAACCTACCCGATAGCCTAGGGAATGGTTCCTTAATCCGGGTATGCTCAACTTATAATCCCACACACCGGGATTAACGTTGCTATTTATGGGCTTTTATATGCCCATCGCTAGCCTTGCCACAATTCCATTTTGGCTTTGTCAAATTCGGGTAGATAGTCTTCTCTTGTCTCTGCAACCTTGGACGTTTGGATAGCACCTTCTATCCATCATTCGCTAGGGACTTAGTCCCTTGGGCATTATCTATTGCCTTTGCGACACTAAACACCACCTCTTGGTGTTCTAGAGTGTTTGGGTGTCCCAATAATGGCCTCCTTAATAATGAGCATTTTCTTTTTACAACATTGACTTACTATATCGCAACATAAGTAATTTATCCCCGATAAGGGTATATTTAACTTTTTTATGCCATTAAAAAGTCTTGAGTAGCTACCTTCTACCCATTTAACCAATTACTTTGCACCTCTTACTTAGTTGCCTCATAATTGTCAAACCCTACAATTCATTCCTAGTGCTTCTACACCTCTATCATTATCTGGGTCACCACACTCTACCACATGCCTTCCAACTTAGGCTATGCCATTCCTATTTCCATTGGGATTCCCTTGGCAAAGGGTTCTCATGAACCCATCAACATAACTTCAAGGTATTACACTTTGGCACATTTGGTGTCTTCACACCATTGACTCTATGAGTCTACCTTTATGACACTTTGCACTTGTGTCTAGGTTTTTGCCAAAACCAACCTAGTCATTTCTCATGCCAACTATCCATTAGCACTACACCATAGTGTTCGCACACAACTCTACATCAAAGTTGCTTCTTCTTGGAACACTTTTCCCATGATTTTAATATGGCATATTCTACCACTCATGAGATACCCACTGTTCTCATACTTGGATCTTATGATCCTCCCCATCCCCTGTGGGGCACAACACACCTCAGTCCAAATGCTTCCATCAGTCATTTAGGACTATTCCTTGACTCCACTTAAGTCATTTAGCCTTTTGGACTTTTCTTAATCCCCCAACCTATAAGGTCTTACTTTTGAAGTGCCAACTCATTGGAATACAACTTCTTGTATTCATGTCCTACTTACCAAGACCACCATTATAAGTGTTATTCCAACACTTGACTATTTTTTTATAATTGTGGGCTACCTTCGCTCGTTAGGACTATCCATCCATATGATGAGAATATTGACTCATCCTCTAAGCACACCCCCAACTTCTGGTGTTGTTCCAGTATTTATTCAAGGTAGCCCAGCTACCATTCCAAGGACTTATGTCCTCATCCACATTTGACCTCCCACGGTCATTAATTCTAGTCTCAAATTCATGAGCACCAGCCTCAACTTCATAAGGGTAATTTTGTGGCTCTTTTATCGTTTTGGAGTTTCTATCTTCCCCATGATCCTAATTATAGTTGTTCACCACAACTACATTAGCCAATTAGCTGAGTCAAACACTCATTTAGATTACATCCTAAACTCAATGAGGAAAACCTTGCACTGTTCCCAAGATCCCAAAGTCGTTCCATTATTGGCTCTTTTCTATCCACCACCTCACCTACAAGTTCACACCTGAATTGTAGTGGAGAGCCATGTCTTCCCAACTTGCTACTCCTCAAGGATAGGTCCACTCTGAGGACCTTCCAATGCCGACACTAGTGGTGATATACTTGAGCACCAATAAAAGTTGGACTAAAGAACAACTTCGATATCAAGTTATAAGCAACTAAATTTTCCATTTTACTTTAGTCACTTAACCACACCTCCGACCATTTGGAAGAGTCTCACTCACAACCTCTATAAGTCTTATTTTGGACTTAGGGACTTGCTAGCTTCAAAAATGGCATACATGCCACTCAACTGTTGCACTTGGTCTAGTGTTCCACGTGTCCAATCCCATGACCAACACCCCAAGGTACCACTGACATATCAACCCGTTACACTAAGGCCATGCCCATTCACCTTGGTCACACCAGTGGTCTGACACCACCTACATCACAGTCCCGTCTCTCAAAGACTAGGTCATCCGTTTATGAGTGATCATCCCAGATCCACCCCTTAGCATCCTTAGGATGCCCACAGACATGGGAATAGCCTTCCCTAATATCCCTTTTCCGGTCCCCACCATATCCTTTTCTGCCCATAGCCATGTTCACCAACACTACCACTGGATCGAAGCCCACAGGCCCGACCATTAAGTCCCATGGTCCTCTGGGACACCACCCAACTGTATCTTTGGTCACTACACTAGAGGATTACTCCTCTTCCTTTCCACAATCTAGGCTTTTGGGACAACATTTCGGAACACCATGGCCCTACGCGAGCCTCATGGGTACTTTTCCCGCCTTCCACCTTTGGGTGCTCTAGCCATGGGCTTAGAGCGAGGTTTCGTTAAGCCATGCCAGGTATCCAAGTAGGTAGTGCCACCCATACTTGAACTAGGAGCATCGACCATTCGATCTCCTAAGGGAACTAGAGCTAGCTTCTGAACACTTCACCAAACTACCCTGCTTGTCAATTTGTATTCACTTTAGCTTTGGACTTCCCAGTGGTTATTCTATCACCCAACACCTGAGTACAACCTTCTTGGGAAAAACTAGCCTTTCCTGGCCAAACTGGCTCCACTAGAGTCTTCCCCCTTACTATACTTTTGGAGCTCGCCAAACCCCCTAGGGTTTGGAAGACGAACGCTTTGGGCTTTCACCCCCTCAGACTCGAACTTGAACTCAAACTCGGACTTGGACTTGGACTCAGACTTGGACTCAGGCTTGGGCTCAGTCTCGGCCTCGGCCTCGGTCTCGGTCTCAGTCCCGATCTCGGTTTCGGTCTCGGTCCTGGTCTCGGTCTCGGTCACGGCCTCAGTCTCGATCTCGACTTCGGACTCCATCTCGGGCCTCCATCTCAATTTCGGACTCCATCTCGGACTCCATCTCAGGTCCATCTTAGACTCCATCTCAGGTCCATCTCGGGTCCATCTCGGGTTCATCTCGTGTCCCTTTTCTAAAGACTCACTTAGTGCTTATTTCATGCTTGTTCCTCGAGCATGTTGTTAGGAGTTCCACTCCCGCTCTCGATCTTTCAAATCAGAATTTTTAGTCCAAATGTGTTACACTCGTTTAGCTTTCGCTTCGGCCACTACCACATGGCACTCTTTCGGCTCCACTTTGGGGCCTAGGGATTTTGTGTCTCACATCCTTCTCCTTCTTGAACTCTATCTCAAAGTTAATCTTAACACTTTTAATATTTACCATGTGTTGATGATTCTCTTTTCCCTTTTTCAAGAGTTACTCTTAATTTGTATTTGTTCCTTGAACAATTATTTGAGAGTTCACTCCCACTCTCAACTTTTTGAATTGGAGCTTCTAGTTTAAACATGTTATATTAGTTTGGCTTTTGCTTTGGCCACTACCATATAACACAAACATTATAAAGTAAATTGACACTAAGCTCTATGTTTCATGTCAAAACCATATTCCATTAGCCTCTTACAGCCTGGATCAATGATGTACTTTGGAGCAATTTCACATCTCAAAGTAAACAGATCTATGCATAGCTAGTTTGCAAAATCCAGCCCCCCATGTTTTTTGCTATGCATCCCTGTAGCCAGAAGGAGCTAGAATTTGCAAATTTTGCACAGATTCAAGCCACTCATTGCATTTGATCTATGTTTGGTGCCACTTGGATTGCATAACTCAACTCAAACTTGTACTCACCATCCTGGAACTAAGCCATACCATTTCTTGGAGATTCTGGAGACAACAGGTACCAAAACCGAGTGGCACTATGTTAGCAGTGGAAAGACATACATGAGGAGGAAGAACTCTATTTCAACTATATATGAATGGGTACATATATATAAAAACTACTGCCACGTGGGCATAATTAGATGCTACAGCATTTCAACCTTTAACAATCCCACTCATGATCAGGTGGCTAATCTATACCTGAATTCAAGCCTGAATCATGCCTAGCTAGTCTGAGATGATGAGCATTTTGCACAGCGGCCCAACTTTGGCAGGAACCACCAGCCTGAGAAGCTCTACTGCGTTGAGCTGAGTGCATCTTCCATAGAGATGGGGGGTGAAAGGCACCATCAACACAAAGAAGAAATTGAGAAAATGAGAAATCTCTTTGCAAGTAGTTTTTCTCCATTTCGGGTTTCTCATGTGTTCTATGTTCCTTGCACATTGCTTTCGTTGCATCTCTGTGTTTCTCATTTTCCTTTTCTGTTTCGAGCAGTGAACGTAGAGAGAGGTTATTGGTCCCGATAAACAGGAACTTAAGCGCCTGGTTCAGCTTGGTTGGGCAGGGAATCAAGGGATCTTCGTTTTTATAAATTCAAAACGAAATAAGCAGCCAAAGACGAAAGGAGACGGAGGTGGGAAAACTTGTAGACCTCATTGACAAGCAGTTGGCTTCCAACTTGAAGCATATCACCCCGGTCCAAGAGGCCCAGGAATGTAGTGTAATGGCATAGGGTGATGGCATTGCAGACCAAAACGCATACTCGGGTATGAGTGGTGCTGTTGTCTCAAAAATCTCCAAAAAGTAGCTTTTCCTAGGCAGAAACACCTTTGGACATACGTGAGGAAGGGGGAATCGACAGCCGATCCCACGTCACTGATCCGGGCCTCTCATCGTTACCATGGCAGGCTAAGATCAGCATGGAGCTGCTGAGGTTGCTCTTGCTGCTCCTGCAAAACAGTGAAAGATATCGAGCATTAGCAACAGTTTCCCAGCTTTCCAGATAATTTTAGGAGAGAGAGTGTGTGTTCTCGGAGAGCTAAATCGAGAAAATAAAACATAGATTTCCAATTAACTGAAAGGTGTCATGGCTGAATCAAAGGTGATGGTGGGCTTGGATTTCGGGACTAAGTTTTCTGGGTTCTCCTTTTTCTCATCGCTCTGATCCTGATGATGTCATGACTGGCCAGATGCGAGCAGGCCCTACTGTAAGACGCAAACCAGCTTGTTCTACTCACAAACGGGGGAACTTCTCTTGGGGATGGAGCGCGCTCAAAGCCTATTCGGACGCTCTCCAGGCTTCTTCCAACCGAGGGGAGCTGGGTTTCTTCGTGACCAAGTTCAAGCACATGCTCGAAGATGGTGAGCTCGCGAAGAGCACGTTAAAAGGTCTTCCGGATTGGCTTTCGGTGGAGAAGCTTATCGTGGATTACATTTGGTTCATTGGCAGGCATCTCCGGCAATTATGGATCGAGCTTGCAGGAGGAAGAGGTAGGATGGTGCCTCACCGTGCCTGCGATCTGGAGTGATGCATTGAAATGGAGATGTACGCAAAGAAAGCAGGGATTGGGGGTCTAGTTCCATCCCCCTGAGAATCGTGCTGGAGCCGGAGGCTGCCTCGTTCTACTGCCAAAGGCAGCTCCGAGACACGGTGGCCTTGAAGAAAGGTGACAGGTTTATGATTGTAGATGGGACAATTGATTTGTTGGTGCACAAAATGGTTGGATCATACAAGGTTCTGAAAGCATGAGCTTGAGCAAAGCTTCAGAATCTCAGGTAAATCAAAGAGTATCAAAGATCTGTAAATATCAGCTCGGATGTTGTGAATTTTAGGCCAATAAAAGTATATGCTATAACCATATTTGGTTCCTCTTCAATAAGGAAATATCCATTCATCTGCTATAAAACCCTATTCCTGTAAACACCACCACAAACAAGTCAAGATGAAAGCCATGTTTTATTTGGACATTTCTGTGTATTTAACATGAAGCTAGCTATTGTTCTAATACTGATTCTCAGGTTAGCAGATCTGACTGTTCAAGCAGATGTAAATTGGGATGCTCTTACACTTTATGGTTTTATTACTAGAAGTGATATTAATGAAATTGGAAAGCTTTTAGTGGATATGATGGATACTAAAATCGAAGAAACATATAAATACTACTTGGACTGAAACTCTTTCTTTATCAAATAAAGTTATTGAAATTACAATATGGATATACAGTAAAAATCTTAATGGGATGTGTAGTATGGCATGGAGATGAACAGGGAGAAGAAATTATTGGAAAACTTAATCAGCTTCTATTTGATATCTTAAAAGAAGCTCGAGTGGGAAATTATGGTCTTATAGCTGCTACTTTGGATTATGTTGGTATAAAATACAAACTACTAAATGCTAGAAGATATAACCCTATGAGTATTGCTGTGAATTATAATAAAACTTATAAATACAGCTGTTAATAATTGTTGGATTTACAGGTCTACACTTATGAGTGGTGAAAAATTTGAGATAGGATCCTATTTACTCATGTTGAATTCACTAGTTTCTCCAAATGGATATTATGAATTAACTCTTCAGAAAAATTGTAATTTAATGTTAACATGGAAGAGAATGCATGTTTTAAGGGAAAGTCTGACCACTAACAAAGATATTGATTTTGACTTTTAGAGACAAAAAATTAGTAATAAAAGATTATAAAGATGTAGACATAAATCAACAATACTATCTATGGAAGATGATGGATTTGTATATATAATTAAATGATAATAAAGTATTAAAGCATTTTCCATAATAAAAGCTTTTGATTGCTTATATATATATATATATAAAACTATGCGTGCATGACATTTAGAAATGTATATATCTTATTAGCCCAAAAACTCTAGTTTATATACAAGCATGAGTGGTCTGAATTGATAAACATGTATGTATATTCTTTATATTTGAATGGGACTAATATAAAAACTAGATGTGCCATCCTCTTAACAAGCTACTCTATGTGATTGTTTTGCATTTCAACCAATCTTAATCTTGAAGTAGAAGTAATCATGGTCATTTCTTTCAAATTATGTTGATATCCAAATCTCCACCCCAAGCCAAATGTAAAATTGAGTCAAGGAGGCACCACTACCAGCAAATCTTATTGTTGTACACTCTCCTAAAATACAAGAGCCATCTGTTCCTCCACCCCTTTAGTTGACTGGGTTTTGTCTATTTTTTTAAGGTGGTATAATGGAGGCACATTGCTACAAGAGTAAGTTTCCCATATATATCCTCACTTATTGTCTGTTAAAATGGTAATGATTATATACTTCCCAATGTGCTTTCACTCTTGTCACTTTCTAAATATCTGAACACCCGTGGCCATCACTTCCCAAATCAGCATGCCAACTTTAGCTCTTGTCACATCCCACTAAACTTGCATACCCCATTTGTGCCATCCTCAACACTAAATGCATTTACAAGCTAGAGTAGTGGCTAAACCTTTTACTCTTTCAAATCTGTGGAGAATATCTCCACTCTTAGTTTTGAACTTTGAACTCCAAAATGTTTTATAATTTTTGTGTTGCTTTGAGAATCTGTTACCATACTTCTTATATATAAAGAGGGATTTAAACCTTAATTAATATATCTACTCCAATATCCTGAACACTCGTAATAATAAACATTATTTTAAATAATATTTTCTAATAAAATTAAATAATTATTTCTATATCATTGTTTGGATTCTTATAGGGCTTATGAGCAAAGAATGCAGCAAGCGAGTGCTCCCATCCATCCGAGATGTGCTCTCGCAGCTGCTATCGCCATCTGCGGCCCTCTACGCATCCCTCCTCCGCCGCTGCGGCATCTCCCGCTCGCTTGCCGACGGCCGCCGCGTCCACGATCACATCCTCGCCACAGGCCACTTCCTCCGGAGCGTCCACCTCGGTAATCTCCTCATCCAGATGTACAGGAAATGTGGTGGCACCAGCAGCCTCGCGGACGCGCGCGCAGTCTTCGATCAGATGCCCAAGAAAGATGTGGTGTCTTGGAGCTGCATCATCGCGGCCTACGGGCAGGCGGGGCATTGCCGCGAGGCGATCAATCTCTTCCAGCGCATGGATGTGGAACCCAACGAAATGGTGATCGTGAGCACACTGGCTGCGTGCTCCGGCGCCAAGGATCTCGCGCTGGGCATGGCCATCCACGCGAGAATTCTCTCCCCGGATCTCCGCAAGAGCGTGTTCGTCGGCACAGCGCTCCTCAACATGTATGCCAAGTGTGGAGCGATCGAGCAGGCCAGAGCGGTGTTCGATCAGATGCCGCACAAGGATGTAGTGTCGTGGACTGCGATGATCACCGCATTTGCCCAGATGGGGGATTGCCGCCAGGCGCTCGAGACGCTCGAGGGGATGATCCAAGCTCGCGTCCAGCCCAATCCGGTGACCTTCGTCGCGGCGATCACTGCGTGCTCCAGCAGGGAATTTCTTGATCGGGGCAGGAAGATCCACGCCGCCGTGATCGACCTGGGCCTCCACGGCGACATCACGATCCAGAATGCGCTCGTTTCGATGTATGCGAAGGGTAGCAGCGCGGAGGAAGCACTTTCGGTGTTCCAGAGGATGGAAGATCGCAACAGGGTCTCGTGGAACAGCATGATCGCAGCCTTTGCTGCGAGCGCACAATCTTGCTCGGCGATGGGCCTCTTCCACGGTATGAACTTGGAAGGGATCAAGCCCGACGATGTGAGCTTTCTGGGAGTTCTAAGTGCCTGCTCGAGCACTGGGTGCTTGCGATCGTGCAAGCGGATCCACTCGCAGCTGGAGCTCGCCGCGGTGCACTCTCCTCCGGATTTGAGCGTGGAGAACTCGCTTGTCACTGCCTACGCCAAGTGTGGAGATCTAGAGGCCGCCGAGAGGATTTTTCAAAGAATCCCAGGCAAGAATGTCGTGTCCTGGACGGCCATGCTCACTGCTTACACCTTTCACGGCAATGGATCCAAAGCTCTCGAGCTCTACGACAAGATGGTCGGGCAGTCGATCCAGCCGGACAGCGTGGTGCTGCTCAACGTAATCTATGCCGGATCACTGGTCGGGGACGTCGGCCTCGCGAGAAAGCTCCACGCTCGCGTTGCTTCCTCCAGCTTCATGCTCAAGATCCAGATCCAGAATGCGCTCATCAACATGTACGCGCGGTGCGGCAGCCTGGAGGAGGCAAGGCGGGTGTTTGATGGGATCGAGAGGAAGAACTTGGTGTCATGGAACGCGATGATGGGATCTTATGTGCAGCACGGATACGACGAGGAAGCGATCGCATTGTTCTCGGAGATGAAGACTGGGAACTCGAAGGCCATGGAGTCGGGCTTGAGGAGCTCGGTCTCTGCGAGCTCGGACTCTAGTTTGTACACAAAGAGTGTGAAGAGCTCGGACTCCACTAACACCTCGGCCTCCACCATCTCGGACTCCATTCTAAAGCCCGATTGCATCATGGCTGTCATTCTCCTGTGCGCCCACGCTGGCCTGGGCAAGCTCGCCGAGGGGCGGTGCATCCACGCCGAGTTATGCGCCGTGAATCCGGAGATTCTCGCGGGATCCACGACCAATGTCACCCTGGGCAACGCGCTGGTTAGCATGTACGCGCGCTGCGGCAGCATGGGAGATGCCAGCGCCGCCTTCCACCACATGAGAGCCCGCGACACGGTGACGTGGAGCTCCCTGGTGGCGGGATACGCCCACCACGGCCACGCCGAATATGCCATCCTCCTCTACCGCGACATGCACCTCGAGGGCGTCCAGCCCGACAGCGTCACCTACGTCAGCATCCTCAACTCGTGCAGCCATGCCGGCCTGCTCGCCCAGGCGCGGCATTTCTTTGTGTCCATGGTCGAGGACCACTGCCTGGCGGCGTGGCCCGACCACTGGAAGTGCATGGTGGACGTGCTGGGGCGGGCGGGGTTTGTCGGGCGGGCAGAGGACGTGGTGAGGAATATGCCGTTCCAGCCGGATGTGGTGGCGTGGAACACGCTGCTGGGGTGCTGCAAGGTGCACGGGGACGCGCAGCGGGGGGCCGTGGCGGCACGGAACGCGGTGGGGATTAGCCCGGGTTTTGCGGGGTCAACGGTGCTGCTATGTATGCGGAGATTGGGCGGCACGAGTGCATGTCGAGCTTAGATTTAAAGGTCGGGGTTTAGGTTTAAGATTTATCTATTTCCAGAATCTGGTCAACGTTCAAAATTGTCAACATTATCTGGTCATCGTTCTTATTGACTAGAGAATGCACAAAAGTTCCACCTGGACAGTGGTATCAATAAATTTTTTACAATTTGCAACTTTTATTAAATTCTTGTTTGGCTTTTTCTTTTGTCGCAACTTTTGTTTGCGGCATACCATGAATGCCAGTAGCATGGTTTTAAAGAAATCCTTCCAGTGGACACAACCAGTGAGTCCATATTCTGGAAAAGGCTTGGAAGATACCACACAAAATAGTATTCAAAGTTAATCACATGGATTGTAGTGAAAAAAAAGTTATCTTGAAACAAGCGCCTCCTTTTTTTCTAAATCGTCATTGCAAGCATTTACAAAGTTTTGGAAGGTTGGAGAAATCCCGGGACTCTTTTCCTCGAGCTGGATCACCGTGTCCAATCCTTCCACCCATCGATTTCTTCTGTAAGCCTTGGCGATCTCCTCCGCCACCACCGGCGATGCCAGACTCATCTCCCTGGCTAGCATCTCCCCCACACAGCGCTGGAGCTCGTCGAGACGATCCAGCCGCGAGCATCCAACGAGCAACGCGTTGTAGCTCTCCTCGCTAAGTTCCTCCTCCAGATCCTCCACCATTTCCCCGTGTGTCTTGTCGAAATCCTCCGGCATTCCCATCTTCGAGTAGCCACAGAGGAGAGTGTTGTAAGTCATGGCGTCGGGACGAAAGCTCGAGCACTCGCTGTCGCCCAGGAGATTTGCCAGGCGTGGCGCCCAGCCTCGCAAACATGGCGATGAGGATGTAGTACGTGACTGCGTTTGGCGAGCACCCCTTGCGGAAGGCTTTCATCTGTTCGAGGATGGAGAGCGCGGTTTGAGCGTCACCTTTCTTGGCGTAGGCGAGGATGAGGGCGTTGCAGCACCTCGTCGATTGCTTGAGCCCCTTGCCTTTGAGATCGTCGAACCAGATGCGTGCTAGCCTCAGGCTCCCAACGACTCCGGCGTAAGAGATCATCGTCGCGTAGAGCTGCTCAAGCTGCGGTCTCTTGGCCGATAGTAGGACCATTGGATTGTTCGTGAGCCATGTAAAAACCTGGCACGATTGTGATATAAGAACGCGATGGATGGACAATAAAGAATGTCACCGACAAGATCAGACTCGATCAGGCATGAAAGATACGAGCACGGAAACAACGAGAAAACCAAAAGAAATCCCGACCAACAACACCAAAGTTTGATGGCAAAAAACGCAAGAAACTCATAAGCAAAGCTGGAAGAACAGCCACGAAGAACATAGCAAATCAAAAGAAACTAGAAAATAAGAAAAAAAATCTAAGATTCTTGCGTACCTCTAAACTGTAGTGGTGATAATCGCCTCCCATGAGATCGCCCAGCATAGGAATCCAGAAGCTCTCGAAATCCCTCACGTAGCTCTTCTTGTCCAAGATCGCCTCGCGCGCCCCCATGGACGAAGCATTCTCGAGCCGCATTCTCATGAGCCTGCCGTAATATCCTGGATTCGGCCGCTTCGCTCGCACGGCGGCGAGCGTGGATCCAGCGCCCGCTGTCATGGATTGCCCCTCGGGGCGGAGGCCAAGAACGAGCTCCAAGTATGGCGTCTCGCTCCACGATTCCACCGTGTAGCCATAGCCGCTCGCAGTCGCAGTGGCAATGCAGCTAAATCCAGACCTGGCAATCGATCCCCGGAAGAACAGCCTCGAATCGAGACGAGCGTGAGAGAATCCGGCCGCCGCGCGCGCTCGCAGCGCCATTAGGGTTTATAGCTTTGCCACGTGGCGGACAGGGAAGCAAAAGTACGTTGTCCACGTCATACGACGCCTGGACAGGTGTCACGCGAGGTTTTGCCGACAGGCAAAATATTTCTAGCGAGCCCACTCCATCGATCGATCGGTCGCGTAGCTCTCCGCGCCTATGAAATTCTCTCCATGGGGATCCATTGCAGTAGCAGTGTCCTTCGCCGTGCTCGTCCTGGCGGCATCGTCGTTCCTCTTGAGCACCAGCTGCTATCTTCTCTCCAGGCACTTGTCCATGTCCCGGGCCGCCAATGCGGCATTCTTGACGGCGTGGCTCAGCCGGGGCGATCGCGATGGCGATGGCGAAGGCGGCGATCGCGGGGTAGGAGGCACTGGCGGTGGCGCTAATCCTGATGATAATCCTCCTCCTCCTCTTGGTAATTGTGGAGATCGAGCACCGAAATATTTCGGATCACCATCGCGATCTCCATCTCCATCGCCAGCTCCAGCGCCATCGCCATCGCCTCCACCGCCAAGATCTTGCGATATTTACTCCGGGCGCTGGGTACGCGATGATGGATACCCCTTGTTCCAGCCATCCTTCTGCCCCTTCACCGATGGAGCGTTCCAGTGCTAAGAGAATGGGCGCAGTTCTTAAAGAGCTTAATAGCTGGAAGAGGCAGAGTTTTGTGCTGATGTTGATAAACATGATTGGAAGCCAAATCACAAGAACAAGTAGCAATAGTCTGTATGTAACAATCTAAAACACTATATATACTTTGACAGTAATTACTTTACTGAAATTGGGAACTGGATAATGTTGAAAAATTTCTAATATGGATTTTATGTCGTGGCAAAGCCCAATAGTCTTTATTTCTTCCTCTCTAGATTTACAATTTCAAACCCACCACCAAAGCCTTATAGTTTTTTAATTGTATTTGAAATAAACATAAATATGTTTCTTTTACAGTCTACTTACTTAATTAGTATTAAATTAAAGTAAACCATTAAACTTCTGTTTAGAAGTTTAACAAAAATGATGACATGATTTTGACTTGTAGAAACTTCGACTTCAAATCACATGCGAATTCATGCACTAGGAGAATTCGAATCCCGTCTCTGGTTCCAAGTTTTTCTCGCAAATTTGGTTCTCTCCATGCTAGGATCACCGGAACACCTCTGGGATTTTCATCCATGCGCTTCCCTGCCGCAGAACTCTGCCGAGAGGAGCATTTGCAATTTCCTGGCAGCGACAAGCAAGAAAATTTCCCCCCTCAAATCGTAATCAAATTCTCAGGCTCTACGAGGTGTCTGCCAGTTCTGGGGAGCTGGGAGGAGGGATCTACGAGGTGTCTGCCAGTTCTGGGGAGCTGGGAGGAGGGACTTATGTTGACAGGAACTTCCTAGATTTTCTCAAGCGAAAAATTGGGTGCTTGGAGAGCTTTGACGATCCAGAGGCGCTTCACAAGATCACAAGGTAGAGAGAAACGATGGTAGAGCTCTTCAGTTCGAGTGGCGAATCCGCACCAAAGCACACAACCGATCCCGAGTGCGAGCGTTTACATGAGTTACCGTTTGACATTAGCGAAGATCTTGACATGGGGAAGAAGCGTAAAATCCGTCAGTCAATCCATTTTGGACGGTCAACTGTCGAAGTTTATGCACAGAGAGTCAACTTCGGGAGCCAGCCCGAGAAGCTCTTTTGCGTTGACCAGCTGACCAGGAAGAGGAAATCAGCCTTCGATTAAGGCGTTCATTTCTTATTAATTCGTTAAGTCGCAAATAATCTCAAAATCTTTTTTTTTTTTTTTTTCTGTGAGGAAACTTTTATTCCTGCGTCTCAAATGTAATGTACACCCTGGAAAAGCTTTGCGCTAGAACCTCGCCTCGAGCGAAAAGGTGGCCATGCTGAAACAATCGTGCGAAGGGATGGCCGGCCTCGTTTCCCACAACTTACTCGCCGTGTCATACGCAAGAACCTCCCCATTCCCGTGGGGGATGACAAAGATGTGCTGCTCGTTCCCGGCCAGAGCATACGACGTGAGCTCGCAAGCCTTCTCGCAGATCTTGCTCCAAGTCATGGAGCCCGTGTCCAGCTCCCAAATGCTCACAACATCCGCCTGATCGTCCGCGTCCCTCCGCCACCTCGGGTGGAGCCACGCGTTCCGCCGCTTCCTCACCCCCGCCACCAACATCGGCGCCAGCTTGGGCCCCTTGACGATCTGCGGCTCGATCAGCAGATAGTTCCTCGAGTGGCGAGTGAGCGGCGTGTCGATCTTCCCCCACGAATCCTTGTCCACGCTGTACGTGAGCACCGCGCTGCGATCCCAGTTGACGCAGTAGGCCACGCCGGCGATGCACGTCGCGGCCTGGGAGAAGTCGTCGTGCTGGACCGTCTCCAACATCATCGATCGCGGCATCGTCCGGAGGAGCCACTCTGCTCGATCGGCGTCGAAGAGATAGAACTGGGAGCTCTGGTAGCGGAGGAAGAGGAGCTTGAAGCTCCTCCCGGGGCCGGAGGAGAGAGCCCACGGCCGCCACCTCGGCCACTCCTGGCGATCGCTTTCTTCTTCTTCTAGCTTGAGCTGGAGCTTGGGGAGATCCAGACGGAGCTTGGCGACGGGGTTGTAGACAAATACCTCTCTCACCGAGTTGTCGTTGATCAAGCTCCGCCGCGACACGCAAACCATGGCGCCGTCCGCCACGACGTCCGCCTGGTACTCCTCCTCGTGCCGCCGTGGTATCCGGCAGTGGTGGCGGTACGCCGCCGGGGAGGAGACGGGCAGCCAGCGGCGGCCATTGACGAAGGCGTACATCTGGTCGGTGTAGACGACGATCCAGCGCTGGTGGGGCGCGGGCGGGGCGGCTGCCGCGGTGGCGGTGGCGTGGTTGTGCATGAATTGGGCGGAGCGGAGGAAGAGCGACCATTCCCGGCACACGGCGCGGAGGCGGCACACGTCCGCGACGCACAGCCGCAGGCACACGCGCTCCAGGAGATCCGATGGCAATTCGCTCCATCCCTGCGCCGCCGCCGACCCCTGCTTTCGCTCCCTCGCCGCCATCGCTGCGCTCTCTGTTCTTCCCTCGAAACCCTCGAATGTGGGGAATATTCGCGATTGTTGTGCTGTTGGGCGTTGGATTCGAGCCTAAGACTTGCCAGAGCATATGCTGGCATCTTCGTCACGTTTGAAATTTTAACCGGGAGAACAGCATATTCGACGCACTTCTTTGATAGGATGCCTTGTAAAGGACTCATTACCTGGGCCGTCATGTTGAGATCGTATGTCAATCTGGGTTTATCGATCAAGAATGCTGGATCGAGTATGAAACCACATCGGTGATTGCTGCTATGCCCAAAACAAGTATTTTTTATGAAAATGTAAGTTGTTTTTAGCGAGATGCCATGCCAGATCTTGTTTCATGGAACACCATTCTCTCCACTTATACACCAAGTGAGCAAGCAAAGATAGTTTTTTTTACAATATTCCACTCAGGATGCTGGTTCACTTTCTTGTCAGAAAATACCCAAATTGGTAATATTCATGAAGTAATGTTTGTGTTTTAGATAATGCTCACAATGATCAGTATGATGGTACATATGTTTTCGCAACACATTGTAACATCACACATTTGAAAGACTATCATGAAATATTTTTTGAGATGGTAAAAACAAAAATGGAGACTCACAAATACTATAGGCAGTATTGCAAAAAGAACACTCGCAAATATATGTAATGAAAAGTGAAATAATAAAACATTTTTATTAATTATCTAAGGTATAATAAATTTATATTATTGATAGAGAATAAACATCAATAGTGTTGGAAAATCTAGTTAGCTCCAAAAGTTTTCTGCAACTTGGCAATAGTAAGGCTTGTTTGGTATATATGAATATCTACTTTAGGATTCTGGTGCAAGATGTTAATGAAAATGTAATACATATACTTGGAGCATATGCCTTTCCATATTCCTCGCGCTTTGGTACTCCTTTGTAAACGTAGTGATATACTTCGTGGAAAGAATCTCACACTTAAATGTTTGAGCTAAATTTATTTAACCTTGCTTCTCCTTGGAGACGGTACCAATAAATTTAACTACTTTACCTTTTCTTGCTAGCCTCTTATGCATCTCTATAGGAATAGTCTTGGTTCTATCACTCATATCTTTAACTCTCCTCTCAAGATTGAAACCAGATTTCTCAAGGTTTTTAATCTCATTTGAGGTGAGTGCAACCCCATTAGCAACCGACCATTCTTTATGTACCACATCAGGTTTAGTCACTATAGTGTTTTCAAACAGTTTTGTATAGTTGACATCAATGTTGCAGCAATATAGCCAACACTATCTTGAAAATCCTACTTGCTTTCGTTCCCCATGGAAACATGGGGTTGGAACAGAAGTAGACTTGTCACCACGGATCCAAGCTTAATATTTGCCCCTCGGAAGCATCCCCACACACTTTACATTTGATTTTGCTAACATTCGACAAATTGCCTATTGCTTCGGCTCCACATTATGATAAGTAGTTTCAACTTGCTGTAATGCACTTTCTTCATCAGCCATTTGAGGTGGCTTGGTTCGGAGGCGATGTCTTAGAGTAGAATAATACTTAACATTAGGCTTATGAGAGCTTTTTGCTCCAAGATCCATGCCAACTTCTTCACCAACAAAGGAAAAACGATGTTTTGAGCAGACAGTCTTCATGTCACCAATAGAAGCTTGGGGAGTGTACTCCATAAATGTGCCACAGACCACTTCCTCCACTATAGTTACCATTGTTTGTGTTGGTGGAGTCATTTTCTTTTTCATCCGATCATGTAACATCTTAATTGAAGGTCCTGTTCCCATGTATTTTCCTTCCTCAAATGCCAAGGCTTTTGAAGACTGCTCTACAGTGTGTATTAAATCTAATAGGCATGCTTCATATATACTCATCTTCCCTTTCCCTGCCTCAGAGGAACTCCAACTCCAATGCTTACTCTCTGAAAGATTCATAGTTGGGGTGTATACAAGATTTGTAAGTGGTAAAAAGATGATATTAAAAAGCAATAAAAAGAGAGGAAAAAAAGAAAAGTCAACCTGGAAAGAGTGATGTCCCCATTAGAACATCTTAATTTCCCACCACCCCAATCATGACTCAAGTTGTGCTAAACAACTTACATTTGTATGGCCATCTTCATACCACCACATTTAGATCTTGTTTGTTTTTGCCTCATGCTCTTCTTTAGAAGGTGTAGTTTGCCATTGTTTGCACAACTCCTTAAATGCTAATTGGAAATTTGGCTTGATAAGGTGGCAATGTTAGTTTAGGATCTGAGCCCAATGAAACTCACAAGTCCTCTCACGACCTTCTAGGGGTTGACCATTCCCAAAGACTGCCCGAACACCATTCCAATTAGCCCTAGCCCCATCTGCCATGAAACTGTGAAAGTTGGCAAGTTTACTAGTCTTCTTCAATATAATGTCGAAGAAGGACTTCCAAAATATTTCTTGAGCCATTTGGTCTTGTACTTTAAACTTTGCTGTTGCATTTGTTAAATTACAACGTAGTCTGTGAAAAGGGCAATGCTTAAAACCATTTTAAGTAGTGAGAAAAAATAACTACCTCAAATCATACATATGAGCTCCCATGGTTGTCCAACCCACTACCCACTCCATATGGTCAAAATGTACCCATGCATTAACAAGGTCATTTGACCCAGACATATCCATTCAGGAAACAAGATCCATACTAGAGGCGGGGCCTATGGACATTTTGAAGATGAAGAGGCGCTCTTGCTCACTAACAACTTGATCTGAAAATAAACTCTCATGGATAAACTCGTAAGAACAAGTCCGTTTTACTTCAAGGATAGAGTCGATTTTTGATTGGAGTTTCCCCTCTTGAGATTCACACATCCAAGACTTTATCCTAAATAAAACAAAATATAAGAGAGATATTATTGAAAAGTATATAATAATATTTTTGTACCTCCTAATGCTAGTTGCAGGTTGCACATGTCATGGTAACTCCCGCAAGCTAACCTCATCCAGTTGAGTATTCTTATAGTTTGGATCAAGTAAAGTGCTTGCGATAAAATCCTTGAGCATTGTCTTTTGAACATATTTCGGAGTTGCAGATGAGTTGCTCACAGTCTCTATCTACACTGCATCTTTGAAACGGTTGACTGAACTCCTTTGTATCCCTTCCTGCATTGGATGTGTGTGTGTGTGCCAATATATATTGCAGCTCTACTAACCTCTCCATCCCGTGGAAGAAAATAGTACATTTTGGCCTCGCAAATGGCACGACACAATGGAGCATTCTTGCAAAACTGACACTTGAATCCAACATTAATGGTGTCACAGATGGGAGGATTGATTGCAGATCCTTCAAAATTGTGCGCCCAGTGCTACCGCATTGCAATGCCCGGTGCCACCACGCCCATGCCATGCCCACGTCGCGCCCAGTGCCTCCAGCACCGCCGTGCCCAGTGCCCAGCCTCCAACACCATTGTGCCCAACTCTGCCACGCCCAGCACCAAGTGCCCAGCTGCCACGCCCAGCACCCAATGCCCAGTGCCGCCACACCCAGTGCCCAGTGCCGCTGTGCCTAGCACACTGCAGGACGGTACACCGGTGAACCGACCCAAGCACTCGGCTGGGCACGACAACGCAAGGCACACCGCACAGAGACATGCGGCATGCGGCACAGCAACGCACGGTGCAGAGCGGGGTGGTACTCTGTGTGTTACTGTGTGGTATGCCGTGCATTGTCTCGCGGTGCACCGCACGGCAACACGTGGTGCCCAGTCCAGCAACGCGCGCTGTCAGGCAGTTGGGGGCGGGCCGGTATGCCGGTGAACCGCCCCGCATGGCCTCGCTAGCGCCAAGTGCCTGGGCCAGGTACTTGGCTGGGCATTCCATGCGGGCCGGTGATGGCTGTGTAGGGCAGGCCAGTACGCCGGCAAACTGCCCCGCACGGCCTTGCCCGCGCCAAGTGCCCGGGCTGGGCACTTGGCTAGGCACTCCATGCAGGCCAGCCATGGCTGTGCAGGGTGGGCTAGTATGCCGGTGAACTGCCCCGCATGGCCTCGCCCGTGCCAGATGCCTGGTTGGGGCACTTGGCCAGGCACTCTGAGCGGGCCAGCCATGGCTGTGTGGGCCAATATGCCGATGAACCGCCCGACATGGCCTCACTAGCACCAAGTGCCCGGGCTGAGCACTCGGCCGGGCACTCCGTGTGGGCTGACCATGGCTGTGTGGGGTGGGCTGGTACACCGATAAATCGCCTCGCCAGCACCAAGTGCCCGGGCTAGGCACTTGGCCAAGCACTCCATGGGGGCCAGCCATGGCTGTGCAGGACAGTCCGGTAGACCGATGAACCACCTGGCACGGCCTCACCAGCACCAAGTGCCCAGGCTGGGCACTTAGTTGGGCACTCTACACGGGCTGGCCATGGCCGTTGGGGGCAGGCTAGTACGCTGACGAATTGCCTGGCATGGCCTCGCTTGCGCCAAATGCCCAGTTGAGGCACTTGGCTGGGCACTTTGTACAATCTGGCCATGGCTATTGGGGGCGGGCTGGTATGCTAGCTAATTGCCCTTCACAGCCTCGCCCATGCCAAGTGCCCCAGTGGACCACCATGCAATCACTTCTCATACATTTTTATTTTATAATGAGTTTTTTTAATTTTCAGAAACGAAAACAACAACAAAAGGATAAGGATATTGGATCAAAGAGAAAAAGACATGAGGAAGATGAGATATAGGATGACAATCAATTTGACCTTCATATAAAGATTTCGATAGCGACAACTTTGCCGTCTTCATAACTAGATAGCTCTAGTCCACATGCACTCCCATTTTTGCCACCACCACCATTACCACTGCCACCACCTTCACCACCATTGGCACCTCTACCTTCATCACCATGATTACCACCACCGTCATCACCACCATTATCACCACCACCATCATCATCATTACCACCACCACTGCCACCATCATCACCACCACCAACGCCATTGCAACTATTGTCATCACTACCATTGCTGCCACAACCACAAATGCCAATACTCTTA